GGACTATGGTGTGCCTGACAGAAGCCATGATATTTCCATTAGCCTCCTATGCATGTGAAAGCTGGACAGTGAATAAGGAAGACGAAGAAGAGTTGATGCTTTTGAGTTGTGGTGCTGGCGAAGAATGCTGAAAGTACATGGACTGCTAAAAGGACTAACAGATATGTTCTGGAGGAAGTGCACCTGAAATGCTCCTTGGAAGCGACAATAGCCAGACTTTGTCTCACCTACTTTGTTCACATTGTCAGAAAGGACCAGTCCCTGGAGAAGGATGTATGTTATGCTTGGTAAAGTGGACAATTGATGAAAGAGGGGTAGGCCTTCAATGAGATCGATTGACATGGTGGCTGCTACAATGGGCTCAAGTGTAGCAAGGATCATGGATCTGGCGCAGGTTCGGGCGGTGTTTCGTTCTGCTGTGCATGGAGTCACTATGAGTCAGAAATGACTCGACGGCACCTAACAACAACAACAACAACAAATGAATTTTACAGGTTCTTCTTGTTATTGTTAGATGCTGTCAAGTTGGCTCTGACTCAGAGTGACCCTGTGTACAACAAAATGAAACATTGCATGGTTGTGTGTCATCCTCACAATCCTTGCTATACTTGAGTCCATCGTTGCAGCCACTGTGTCAATCCATCCTGTTGAGAGTCTTCCCCTTTTTCACTGACCCTCTACTTTACCAAGAATGATTTCCTTCTCCAGAAAATGTCCTTTCTGACACCATCAATGTAGGTGAGACAGAGTCTGGCCATTTTTGCTTCTAAGGAGCATTCTAGCTGCACTTCGTCTACGACAGATGACATTTTCAGTATTCTTCACCAACACCATCATTCAAAGATATCAACTCTTCTTCACTCTTCCTTATTCATTGTCCAGCTTTCATATGTATATGAGGCAATTGAAAATAGCATGGCTGAGGTTAGGTGCACCTTAGTCTTCAAAGTGATGTCTTTGCTCTTCAACACTTTAAAAAGGTTGTTTGCAGCAAATTTGCCCAGTGCAGTATGTATCAATATCAATATGATAAAGTATATCATACTTTCAAGAAATCATACATTTCTTGAATGCTGCTTCATTATGTGTTTATTGTGGATCCGTGTAAAATTAAATCTTTGACAACTTCAGTCTTTTCTCCATTTATTATGATGCTGCTTATTGGTCTAGTTGTGAGGATTTTCATTTTCTTTATGTTGAGGTGTAATCCATATTGCAGACTGTAGTCTTTAATCTTCATCAGTAAATGCTTCAAGTTATCTTCAATTTCAGCAAGAAAGGCTGTGCCATCTGCATATCACAGGTTATTAATGAGTGTTCTCCCAATCCTGATGCCACATTCTTCTTCATATAATCCAGCTTCTCAGATTATTTCCTTCAGCACACAGATTGAATAAGTATGGTGAAAGACTACAACCCTGACACATACCTTTTCTGATTTTAAACCATGTAGTATCTCCTTGTTCTGTTCAAATGAGCCTTTTGGGCTATGGGTTGTTTCCTCATGAGCACAATTAAGTGTTCTATGATACCCATTTTTTGCACTATTACACATAATTTATTATGAGCCACACAGTCAAATGCCTTTGCACAGTAAATGAAACACAAGTAAACACGTTTCTCATGTTCTTTGCTTTCAGCCAGGATCTATCTGATATCAGCAATGATATCTCTCATTCCAGTATTACAGGTAGCCTTCATATTAATTTCACATTGACTTGTACAATATTAATATTATATAAAACTAAGAGGCCTACTAAAATTCCCACATTACCAGAATGTATTATCCACAAAATAATTCTATCTTTAATGCATATTAATAATGATCATTTCCCTTCATGTGACTTTTGATGTCCATTGCCAGATTAATAACTTTCTTTTCTATGACATTCATTGTGAAAAGGATTTAATTGAATGTTAACTATTTCTAACATAAAGTTTATTTCCTTTTCTGGAAAATCTAATTACATAGTTAATACGTAAATTGGATATTTGCAATGAACCTCTAACCTAGTGTCTGATCTTGGACGTTGCTGTCTGAGTAAAAGTGGTTTTCATTTAAGTCTATCCATAAACACCTGCAATTCACATATCTGTCAAAGTGCCTTTATGCAGAATATAAAAATAACACTCCTAACTCAACGATAACAAAAAAACTACAAAAAGGCAAAATATCTAAACAGACATTTAACACAAAAAATGCATGGGGCTAAAAATAACTGCATGAAAAGATGATCAGTGTTAGTAGTCATGGTGGGAGTACAAATTAAAATCACAATGAAATATAACTACACATGTATTGTATTTATTGATAGTTATGTGGAGTCAGTTGCAATTCATTGTGACCCCAATGTGTGCAGAGTAGAAATACTCCATACAATTTCCAAAGCTCTAATCTTTTGGAAGCTGATCACCGTGCCTGTCTTCCCAGATGCCTGTAGGTAGGTTTGAACTAATAGCCTTTTGGATAATAGTGGAACACTTAAACTTTTGTGGCAATCAGGGTTCATACACACCTATTAAAATGGCTGAAATATTAAATCTTGACAATACCAAGTGTTGATAAGGATGAAGCACAACCAAAATTCTCATACTTTTTTTTGTGGGAATATATGCATACTATTATAAACCCCAATTATTGCACTTTTAGCGTTTTAGCTAAGTGAAGCAAAAACCTTTATTTACACAAAAACCTGTAGGGAAATCTTTAACCCCTAAAACCCACTGCCATTGAGTTGATTCTGACTCATAGTGACCTCATTGGGTTTCCAAGACTGTAAGTCTTTACTGAAGTAGATTGTCCCATTTTCTCACATGGAGCAGCTGATGGGTTTGAATCAATGACCTTCTGGTTAGCAGCTAAATGTCTTACCCCTTATGTGACCAGAGATCCCTTGGAAATGTCTGTGCATGCATGCACTGACTGTCATGGAGTCAGATCCGACTCATAGTGACCCCTCCTTGGGTTTCTGAGGTGGTATCACTATTGAAGTAGACTGCCAATCTTCTTTCCAAGGAGTGGCTGGTGGGTTTGAACTGCCAGCTTTCTGGTTAGCAGTCAAGTGCCTTAGGCACTACAAGAGTGACTTTATTTGTAATTGTTACAAACCAGAAACAAACTCATGCTCCTCAACTAACAAACTGTGGTTAGGTACACAAAATAGAACACTACATATCAATGAAGGAATGAGCTACTAATACATATAAAAACATTAAAAAAAAAAAAAAAAAAACCTCAAATGTAGTATGCTAAGTAAAAAAAAGAAGACCGACTATTTACTACATGATTTAATGTATGACATACAGGAAAAATAAAGTTAAAATTTTGACACAGAAATCATATCAGTGGTTATGAGGAATGGACTACAAATGGGCAAGATATAATTTTTAGAGTGGTCAGAGTCTTTTGTATCCTGATTAGTTAATTATTTAAGTGGATAGAGAATTTGGGATTGGGGGTATTACATGGCAGCATGTTAAAAATGGCATTCTGTTGGTCTTGAAATATGAGCAAGAGTAGTGTCAGTAAATACTAAACGAGGAAAAAAAATCATTAGGAAAAAGCCTTAATTATTTGAATATCAAAATGAATAATCTTGATTAAAAGAAGGGAATTCTGGTGGCATTCATATAATTTTGGGAAAAGGATGGGCTAGGGGCTAGTGATCTCAGAACCTAAATTCAGGGAACCACCTTGAGGAGCTAGTACATAAAACACATTAGTAAGACATAAAGGACCATCTGTAACTCAGGGTGGCCCCATATTTAATATGGATTCCTGAGTCTGTTACAGGCACACACTGTGATATTCTGTATTCCATTCCATATCCACAGAGAGATAGCTATCAGAGATACTTCCACTTTTAGCTACCTTCTCAGCAAGAGTGTACGTATGCTACTGACCTCACTTTTTAGGTCAACCTTTTTGTTCTTCATTGCTATACATTAAACTACAAGTTTTCTTTTAGTGAATATAAATGTTAAGTATAAATATTTTCTCTTATTGTAAATATTTTCCACTCTTTTTACTTTACAAACTAAAATAACATGTGATATATTTTTTCATCATACAAAACATGATATTTCAGTTTTTATGCATTAAACAATGCTTGTATTTGTTACATGTAGACTTCCCTAAGGTAGTCCTTGTGGAGATCTAAATTCTGAAATGTATGTCACTAAAGCTTCATATACTGTGCAAACACAGGCATTGAGTCAGATAAAAAAAGATTTTGCCTTCTGATTGCACCCCTGGGTGGTGGTGTTGTTATGTGCAGTAGAGTCAGACTGGACTCATAGTGACCCTTCCTTGGGTTTCTGAGGCGGTATCACTACAGAAGTAGATTGTCCATCCTTCCTTCTGAGGAGTGGCTGGAGGGTTTGAACCCCTAGTCTTCTGGTTAGCAGTCAAGTGCCTAGGCACTATGCTACCAGAGCTCCTGGGTACCAACTTTTAAGCCTCCTGAGCTTCAATTTACCTATCTGTGAAATGAAGATAAAATACCTCTTCATTCATGATTACATATAATAAAAAGGAAATAAATCTTGAGTTATTGTCTTAGTGGTATTGGCTGTAATCATCATAATTATAATACTAAGATGAACATATTTAATAGTATTATTACTTCAAGATTTAATGTTCATCTATATTATTGAAACTCCTGGCCATAGACCATTCTTCTTTCCCATTTTATTGTTTATACTCAAAAGTAAAATAATGCAGAATGATGCCTAGAATCACAAAGGCCAGAAAAAGCTGGAATTGGAATGGACAAGAAGCTCACTCAGTTCAAAACATTTATTAAAATGAACTTACTGATTCTGTTTTGTTTTATTTCGAGTTTTATTACAATACAGTCCCTGTAAAGCCATTGCTATTGTGGAAATGCTATTCTGAGAAATCTCCCATACTAGAACAGAAGAGAATAAACATTTAAGATATGGCATAAGGACTTCTGATCTTTTTTACAAAAATGATTGCTGTACATTAGCACATTTCTTTACTTCTTTAAGAACAATGTAATTTTTTTGATTGAGGCATTGAAGGCTTGTTTTACTTGCTTGTTCCTCAAGGTGTAAATGAAGGGGTTCAGCATAGGGGCGATGGAAGTTGTGAGTACTGTAACACCCTTATTAATGGCCACTGAATTCTTTGTTGAAGGTTTCACATAGATGAAGATGCAGCTTCCATAAGTGATGGAAACCACAATCATGTGGGAAGAGCAAGTAGAAAATGCCTTTTTCCTTTGCTGGACAGAAGGAAAGCGTAGAATGGTCTTAATGATGTATACATAGGACAGCATAACACATATAAGAGTCAAGACAAAGGTCAGTACAGCACAAACTATGATGACCTGCTCTATGAGCCATGTTTCAGAGCATGAGATGTTTAGCAGAGGGGATATATCACAACCAAAATGATCAACGATATTAGAGTCACAAAATTCCAGATTTAGGCCCAGGCTAAGTGGTGTTACTAAGATCAACAAGCCAGATGTCCAGCAACAAAGAATGAGTTTTCTACAGACCTTGTTATTCATAATGGTCACATAATGTAGGGGTTTGCAGATGGCTACATATCGGTCATAAGACATGGTGGCTAGGAGAAAAAATTCTGTAACAGCAAAGAAGTCAGTGAAAAATATTTGAATGACACAATTGTCATATGTGATTGTCTTGTCCCCGGTTGATAAGTTGTACAAGTATCTGGGAACACAGGCAGATGTAAATGAAATTTCTAAGAAGGAGAGGTTTTGCAAGAAAAAGTACATGGCAGTTTTAAGGTGAGAATCAATGAAGATGAGGGAGATGATTGTCAGGTTCCCAGTTACACTCAGCAGGTAGGTGATCAATAGAAAGATGAAAATCACAACCTTCAATTGTGGGTCATCTGTCAGTCCCACCAGAATAAAAGTTGTTACTGTGTGGTTTCTCATAGTTGGCTTCTGATTTCTATTCAACCTGTATCATAATTTGGAGGTAAGGTGTATGAGGAGAATGATGTTAACACCACATAGCAACACACTATGCATACCACTTCACATGCAATTATTTATTAATTTAGTTATAAACAATGTTACACTAGTAGCATAGGTTCCACACTCATATGTTTTTGCAATTTCAATAAGTATTTGTTAAATATCATATTACTTTATTCATACCACATTCTTACATATTCTTTTTTTTACATCTTTTTATGCACAATTTATATTTTATCTTTATCTGTACATTATATGAGAAATACCCATGGAGTTTTATTTGATTGCTAAGTGAAGATGAATCCTAAGGCAAAAATCTTAAACTTCTTGAACAATTTTATTTAAGAAATATGTGAATTCGTATTACAATTTTTGTAAAAATTGTGTTTTCTTGTCTAAACTGCTTTATTCTCCTTTACCCCTTCCCCTCTTCTCCCTCATGACACCTGTCTAAATTGGCTCCTGTTGTGCAGGACACAGTGCTTTAATGGGATATTTGTTGTATAGATGTTAAGCTACATCAGGCACAACATGAATATGGTTGTACAAAATCATCACACAAGTTTTAAATTATCAATCTGCTTAATTAAGATTGAAACACACCTCAACATCTTGTATATGTACACACACACACACACACAGATATATATATATCAAATTTAAAATAATATTCACACTATGCTGCTTGCTTTCACTGTTTTTTAGTTTTGTCATCCATAAAATGGAATTATCCTACATTTACAATTTTTGAAAATCGACCCAATCAAACCTGTGAGTGCTGGAATTTGATGGGACTGCCTTATTTTTCTGATTATCAAAAGTTTTCAGCCTTTGACATGTGTGTCTTACCACTTTTCTATCACTTTCTACTGGAAAATATGTGCATTTCCTTTCTGACAAGTTTCCTCCTTATACAGGTTCCAGCTTTCAGAGGTGTTACTGTATACAGAACTTAGAATATAAAAAAAAAATAATTTTTCTTTGTCATTAGAACTTTACTTCCATGCAGCTCTGACATTGCAATGTAGATGTTGACTAATAAATATGTAATAACAACCTCAATGACTTGTCAACAATGATTTCCTTTTTGTTAGTCACCAACCATTTGCTTTAGTCACCAACCATTTGCTTTATCACATGTAATTACACTTTGCCCCACCTTTCAAATGAAATAGCTTTGGTAAAAATTTATCAATGAACTTCTCTTTTTGGTATACAATATTAAAAGACTTCTATTTCTAATGTATACCTTTGACCACACTGTTCATAACGTTCTCTCATAGCTTAGTTTAACATCACACATATGCCTTTCTCTCACCTTATTGATCTATAATTTCTAAGGGTTTATTTTCTTGCTTGTCTCTAATATGCTTGTATTTCACAGTCTTCTCTCATAACAAACACACTCTGATTGTATTTTTCCTTGAACTCTTAATATTTGATCTATAAAAATGATTGCTCTCCAGAATCTCAGGAATATAGTCAAATACACCTCAAACATAAAAGTCCACACTTCATCTTACTTCGTTCCCTCAGTTTCTCAAAATTAATCTACTAAGTTTGGTCAGGTATTGAACTAATCACTCTTAATAGTTTATTTATCTGGAGTACTCTCTCCTCAGATACTCTGTTTCCTCACTTAACCTGTTTCCCAAACCCAGTTTCATCTAGGATGCAAATACTCCGTAAATGGTGTTTAGTTTACACTTCTCCTTTCTTAGGAAACAGACAAAACTTATGTATGTGGTGAGTGCCATTAATATAGCTAGTGATTCTTACTACTCTCTTAGCTCTACCCTGAGAATGTACATTGTTTTGAGATCATGAGGATATATTTTTACTAGTGTAGTGTCCGCAAATAACACAGTTCCAGATGTGTATTCTATGCCTAAAAAAATAATGCTGGCAAAAAAAAAAAATATATAAGTCAAATTTTTCATACAAAGCTGTATTATTCCTTATTTGGTATTTACCTGAAAATCTGTGGGATATTGAACTTACTCTGTATCAGAGTTTAACATTTTTACTTTTTTATTTTTGAAGATTTTTTTTGTTTGTTTTCTATTGAAGTTCATCTTACCTGAAAGAAGCTGTCCTTTGACTGTATCTATCACCTTCACTACTGACAATCATTATAACTGGCTTTTACTTACCTTGGCTGCCAAACAGAAGAAAAGTTGTGCGTTCTTTGATGGTGTGTTTGTCTCCCTGAGGCATCCGTCAGTAGGATATGAAAACCCAAACTCACAGACTTTGAAGTTCTGAATTTGTGACAATACCTTCTGTATAGATGTTTTCATGACTATCACAAAATA